TTGTAGGAGCAGAGCTATATCTTGCTAAGACATTAACTGAAAAAGTTATGTCAGGCCTTGTAGTGTTAGCAAGATACATAAGTGCACCAATTGCACTAAGATATGGTACTTCAGGACCAAGAAGTTCTTCATTCTTTTCTTGAGGTCGGAACGGGTCCTTATTCACATCAAGTGATCGAACAATCATCGGAGTACTTAATGGATGTGCTCCATCCATGTAAAACCGTTTCAATACCTTTTCTATGTAGGCAGATTGATGAACAAATGTCCCGTTTGCCAAATTTTTAATTTGCAAACTAAGACATAATTTTGTTTTTCCGAGATCTTTTATCTCAAATTCCTTTTTTAAATAATCAATTGCCTTTTGGAGTTCTGTAGGAGTTCCAATAAGGTTTATGCCATCAACATATACAGCAAGTACAACAAACTCCGATGTTGTTTTCTTTATAAAAACACATGGACAAATGGTATCATTTATATAACCTTCCTTTAATAAATACTCATTAAGGCGGTTATACCACATTCTACCTGATTGCTTTAAACCATACAAAGATCTTTGCAATTTGATTGAAAATATTTTTCGGGAGTTCGAATTATGTGCGTCAGGCATTTTAAATCCCTGGGAAATTTTCATGTATATCTCATTATCAAGTGAGCCGTAAAGGTAGGCTGTAACCACATCCATTAAATGCATGTCAAGATTTTCATGGACAGCAAAACTAATGAGATAATGGAACGTTATAGCATCCATAACATGAGAATACTTCTCTTCATAATCGATACCAGGCCTTTGTGAAAATCCTTATGCAACAAGGCGTGCCTTATATCTTTGTACCTCATTTTTCTCATTCCTTTTACGTACAAAAACCCATTTATAGCCAACAGGCTTAACACCATTTGTTGTTTGGACTACAGACCCAAAAACTTCACGTTTCGCAAGTGAAGTTAATTCTGCCTGGATAGAATCTTCCCATTTTGGCCAATCATTTCTCTATCTACATTCATCAACAGATTTTGGTTCAAGATCCTCATCTTGTTGCATTATTTCAATAGCGACATTATAAGCAAAAACGTTATCGATAACAATATTATTTCGGTTCCATCTTTTTTCCGTTGAGACATAACTTATTGAGATCTCTCCATTCTTATCATTTTCAGGTACCTGGACCTCCCTTGAGGTTTTATCATTTGTTATGTCTTTGTGCTCTTCTTGAGTCACTACCCCCGTATTATGATCACTTTGATCATTTGCTCCTTTTTTTTCTAGTATTTTTATCCTTAGAACCCATAGGTCTACCACGTTTCAAGCGTGGTTTAAATTCATTTGCTTTAATTAATTGTCCTACCGGGATATCCACTCGAATTGGAGCATTAACAACTGGAATATGTGATTTAGTCACCCTTGGTAGGTCAGTGAATGCATCTGGCAGTTGATTTGCAATATTTTGCAAATGAATTATCTTTTGAACCTCTTGTTCACATTGATTTGTTCGAGGATCTAAATGAGATAGTGATAATATATTTCAATCTATCTCCTTTCTTAGCTGCTTATTTTCTCCCCCTAATATTGGGTATACTGATTCATCAAAATGACAATCAAAAAATCTTGCTGTAAATAAATCTCCAGTCATAGACTCCAGATATTTTATAATAGAAGGAGATTCATACCCAACATATACTCCTAACCTTCTTTGGGGACCCATCTTTGTGCGTTGTGGTGGAGCAATTGGAACATATATCGCACAACCAAAGATTCTAAGATGAGAAATATTTGGCTCCTGACTAAAAGCCAATTACAATAGGGAGACTTTATGATAACTTGTGGGCCTTATCCGCACAAGTACTGCTGCATGTAAAATAGCATGACCCCATACTGAAATAGGAAGTTTTGTTCTCATAAGCATTGGTCTAGCATTTAATTGGAGGTGTTTGATCAATGATTCCGCTAGACCATTTTGTGTATGAACATAAGCAACCGGATGCTCAATTGTTATCCCAGTTGATATACAATAATCATTAAAGGCTTGGGATGTAAACTCACCAGTATTATCAAGATAAATTGTCTTAATTGCATAATCTGGAAATTGTGCTCTTAGCTTTATTATTTGAGCCAACAATCTCGCAAATGCCATATTGCGAGTTGATAGTAAGCACACACGTGACCATCTTGTAGATGCATCTACCAAAACCATATAATATCTGAATGGCCCATATGGAGGGTGAATGGGCCCACATATATCACCCTGTATACGTTCAGAAATGTAGGGGATTCCATCCTAACTTTAATAGCTGATGGTCTAATAATTAATTTGCCTTGAGAATATGCAGCACAAGAGAATTCTTTAAATTGAAGAATCTTTTGGTTCTTCATTAAATGTCCATGTGAATTCTCAATTATTTTATGCATCATAGTAGAACCAGGATGATCCAACCGGTCATGCCAAATAATAAAATTATCTTGATTAGTAAACTTTTCATTTACTATAGCATGCGTTTCAATTCTGCTAATACTTGTGTAGTATAAGCCGGAGGAAAGAGCAGGTAACATTTTAAGACATTATTATAGTAATATAAAGATATTCAATATTTTCATCATTTGTAGTCTCAATATGGTAGCCATTTTGGCGAATATCTTTGAAACTTAATAAGTTTCTTTGAGATTTACTACAATATAATGCTTCATCAATAGCCAAATTTGTTCCTCCTGGTAGTAATAAATTGGCTCTTCTGGAACCTTTAATTAATTTTTTACTACCGGATATTGTATCAACATTGGCTTCTTTCATTACCAAATAAGAGAAATATCTCTTATCTCTTAAAATAGTGTGTATTGCACTATCCAGAAGATATATATCATCTTTATTAATCTTGAGTCCAACTGAAGACTGAGAAATTTTCATATTCTTCAATAAAAAAAATCAAAAAGTACATTATAAGAAATATAAAAGACAAACAAAATATATATTAAGAAATACATTAGGAATGTAGAAACTAACAACACATGATACATTAGGAAAATACACTTAAGAAAAATAAACTAGTTGCAAACATAACAAAATGACAACTTTTATTATAGCTTCATTCCCGGTAAGATGATTAGTTCTTCAGTTAGTATCCTCAAAGAAGTCTCCAGCTTCTAAATGAGTAATATTTGCTAGGCCTCCAAAATCATCATCTTTATATGCAAGATGTGCCTCTGAATCATATTTGTTTGAGGGACCTTCTTCATCATCATTATTTTAAAAGGTCAAGTGTGCCTCCACATTATTTTCTTTCTTTCTAAGGGAGGCTTGATAAAGTTTGACAAAATAATCTGGCGTACGACAAATACGTGCCCAATGACTTTTCATACCACATCGATGA